CTGTCACACTGACCCACTGTCACACTGTCACACTGACCCACTGTCACACTGACCCACTGTCACACTGTCACACTGACCCACTGTCACACTGACCCACTGTCACACTGACCCACTGTCACACTGACCCACTGTCACACTGTCACACTGACCCACTGTCACACTGTCACACTGACCCACTGTCACACTGACCCACTGTCACACTGACCCACTGTCACACTGACCCACTGTCACACTGACACACTGACCCACTGTCACACTGACCCACTGTCACACTGACCCACTGTCACACTGACACACTGACCCACTGTCACACTGACCCACTGTCACACTGACCCACTGTCACACTGACCCACTGTCACACTGACACACTGTCACACACTCAGGTGTGAATCTCTGGTGTGTTTGTGTTGGACAGGTGCAGATCTACGAGCTGGAGGAACATAAGATTGAAAGCTGGAGAGGTAGGCAGACACTGATCTGAGAGCAGCTCCTCAAGGTTTTACCATGTGGACAATAACACACATGTTTGTTTGACAGAGCTGTATCTGCAGGAGACCTTCAAACCTCTGGTCCACATCCCACCTGATGCCAGGTACCAGTCTGAGCTGCTGTCAGGTCTCTGAGGTCCTGCAGAAGAATTAATGATCAGATGAAACTAACCTGAGAACAGGAAGCAGAACTGCACTGAAGGTCTCTGCAGACTCCATCTGAAGCACAACAGTCAGTGTTCAGTCACACCGTTGTTCAGGGTTAGTTTTCACACACACCTTTCAGAACTCCTGGGAGACTCCTCCAACTGCAGCATCCATCAGTGCAGGGGTTCAGTTTACACAGCACCAAGTCCCAACATGTTGTCTCAGGTCACTGTACATGACAAGATCAATCTGACCAACAACTAGTTCCTTCCTCCTGGAGATTAAACCTCAGATCTGACAGATGTGTCCACATCTGTTCTGTTAAAGCTACATACTTATCTGCAGATGGATTCCTCTGTAAAAAACATCCTTTCATGAGTTTTGATTCGTTGACTATTAAGTCGAACTATGTTAGCTTCTGGAAGCAAGTAGCTTTTGTTTAGGTTGTTTTTTGAAAGTGAGTGGTCTAACGCAAAATGCAGCACAAGTTCCTTTATGTGTGTGTGTGGGGGGTGTG